CAGAAAATAACCAGGAACTTCTTTTACTTGTTTTTGGAATACATGGAAGGGGGAGCGGAAAGAGGACCATGCCAGCTATCCACACTTTGGAATTGTTCTGGTTACTACCGCAAGGTCCACATATTCAACTGAAAGCGTGAGAGGATTCACAACTCCTTTCGGACCAGAAATAGACAGTCAGCAAATGGTGGCACTGCTGCCACTTACACGCACCCCCCGCCCCCCCATCTCAGAGTCGCTTCCCTACTCCTCTTTGTGCATTAGCAGAACAGGATAGAACATGCACAAATTCCACAGATAGGATGATAAATGCACCAATACTGTGTGTCATCCAAGCAGACTTCACTCATTGTCTCATTTTTTCTCACCTTTCCTTGCCAGAGATTTTGAGAACAGCCTCTGTGTTGCCTCCAAATGAAGAAATTGAAAAACGCTTGCGAAAATACGTGATGAGGAATGTCCTGAGGAAGGTACTTCAGCAAATATGCAGTTACCAGCAGTTTCATATGAGTGTAATTAATGCAACACTTTTCACAGAGGAAATGCTTCTGTAGGAATGCTATTATCATTCTGCATGATTTTTGAAAAATATAAATTTAATGTTTCCTCATTATGAGCAGTTGACCATTTTCACCAGATATTCTGAAAAAGAAAATGGAGAAGGGAGATAAGGATTTACAGTTTACATGCTTAACAGTTTCCTTGCAAACTTTCTTCAATATTCCTGGAAGTGTTGAAGCTGGGCCTATATCCCAGTCAATATTCTTTTTCTTTCTTTTTTTTTTTCAGAATGCCCAAAGAGGCTTTTGCTACAATAGAATCTGGTTCTATCTGGAAGTAGAAGACTTCTAGGTTAAGTCTCATGGAATTCATATACTCACTGGATGGCCTTAGAAATATTACCCTCTGCTTATGTTAGATACAATAATCCTTCTCCACCCAATTGTTTCATAGTGCAGAAGAATTAGAGGAGGGATCACCTGGAGTCCTACTTTCCCCCTCTGGTCTACTACCACTATGTACATAAAAGGGTTAAAGCTGGAATAATGAAAGGCCACTCCTTTGGGACTATACATGCTAATTACCCACAGTGCTTCCAATGGCTCCGAAAGTTGTGTGATAGATACTGGTAGCTCCTCTGCTTTTTTATCGCTTGTCTGTTGTATTTTGCCAGTTAACTATTTTTGATATTGCTGAAGTTTAATAAATAAGCATTAAGCTATATTTTTACTGGCTGAACTGAGTGGCGTGTGTGCTTGCTCTTATCTGGATATAAGGATTACAGTAGCTGGGAGTGTTCTAAGTGCAAACTGAAGTGGAAATTGCCCAGTTATTTTTCCAACATGTTAAAGGTAACTCTTTTCTGTGCTAGCATGGCTGGCTGCCAGGAAGCTATAAATCTGCCACCACTCAGAGATAAGCAAGTTCAGTCTCCATTGTAGCTATCTGGAATAAAGCAGCCTTTGAAAAATTCCTTTTCCTTCTGTCCTTTGAGGATACAGTAGATTGTACTTCCCAAACAGGCAAGCAGGGATTGAGAGCTGTAAATTATCAGGTGATGAATCGAAAGGAGAAACAAAATACATAGTCAGAAGAAATCCAAGGTCCAAGACACAGCAATGCAGGACATTGCCTTCAAGAGCTGAGGTTTGGAGAAGTTGGTCTCAGCACCATCTAAAGGAAGTGAGTGCAATAAATAAGCCACGGTGAGCCTCCACCCATTGCACAACTGAGATTCATTAACAGTAGCTGCAGCATCTGTTAGCATTTTCATGCCTTTGGGCTAGCCTTGTGGATCTCCCAGGTTCAACTCTCTGGTCCTGGATCTTCATAAGCACCTCTGCCTAGGACTAAGTGGCTGAACTTCTCAGTCTGAGTTAGTGTCCATCGATGTGGGTGAAGGGTCCAGGGAACTCGCTGGGCCTGTCAAAATAAGAATGGGGTCACTGGGTCCAGCAGTGCTAGAATCTCCAGCTACAGGACTGCTCTTGCTCGGCGTGTTTGGCTCCACTTCCTCCCCATCCTCTCTAGCAGGATCATAACAAGCTCCCCATTTCTATCTTGGAGATAAGGATGCTGCTTCTTTCCCAGGGCTATTACAGGAACTTTAGAAGAGAGGACATGTAAAATGCCTCGAGCATTTTAATCAAATTGAAGATAAATATAACCTACGGTATTATATCTGGTTTGAAAAATCAGGACAAGCACAAGCTGGCAGCCAAGAGATTCAAAAACTTTTTTGCTGTGTCTAATGGCCATTCATATATTTGTAGCCAGACACGGTAGCCATATTATGGCCAAGTAATTGAAGGGCCTCAGGAGGCCTGGCAGTGATATAGGACTTTTTTCAGCCTCTGTGTGAGTGTGTGTGCGCGCGCACACACACATACATGTGTACATGTCATGTTTTGTTTTTCCACTTTTAAAAATAAGTGCATTTGGTCTATCAAATATTTATTTCAGTAGTTCCATGTTTGGAAAGTTTGCGGGGAAGGGGGTGGCATTGCCTGGAAGGCCTTGTTAATTCAACCTTATCTATATAATGTGAGATTTAGGATTTTAAAACAATTTTCACTTAATAAAGCACAAAGGTATATGTACTTTTTAAAAACCAAATACCATTCCAGGAATCTAATTCTTCTCAAGACTATTGTACTTTTTGATATACAATATGATTGTTTATATTTGTTGTACGCCACCCAGAGTCAAGTTGGTTGAGTTGGGCAGCCATATAAATGCTTGAAATAAATGAATAAATAGATAAATGCATCTATATGTATATTAGGCCATTGGTCTTTTTGTGGGGCTGGGAATTTTTAATTATTGAAATATTAAAGAATATACCTCTACGTTATATCAGACACACCCTGATATTACTGGGAGGTGGGACTGTAATTTAATCTGCAGGGACCTTTTATGATAAGTGTTGAAGAGAATGGACCATTTCTATATCCACTACTGTACCTCCTTTCCGACTCACAGTGTAACACCATCCACACAGTAGCTAAATTTGTCACTGCAGCAATTAACTTCAGGCTGAGCCTGATAACTCAAAGTCCTTGAACTACTTTATTTTTATTTCCCTTCTCTTTTTCTCTCTCCTCCTCTTATATAACTCTAAATTAGTATCATAATAAACAACTAAATAGGTACTAAGCAAGCACCATCAATTATACTCAAATATTCTAGGTACAGTCGTGTGAAAAAGAAAGTACACCCTCTTTGAGTTCTATGGTTTTACTTATCAGGA